ACGGATTAATACACCTTGTGGTACATAGTGATTTACACTCCTCTCACGTGGAGAGGATCCACGAATATTTTAATGTGTGTGGACCTCATCCATGTGAGGAGGTGTAAGACTACGTGTATATCATTATGTACACATAGTATAATCCTATGTACGCAAGGGTATACACCCTCCTCACATGAGGTGGACCTGTTTGAATAAAAAAAATATTTTGTACAAATGAATCTCACTTCATGTGAGGGGGTGTATACCTTTATATATATATTTTTTGATATATAAGTATAATGATTCTTGGGATATACATACTGGATCTGAAGGTATTGACTTACATATATTTTGGAATAATATTTCGATGAAAAATGCGTGATTAAAAAAAGATATAAAAAAATTTGAGTTTTCATGTAATATTATTTTATTGAAAAATGTATCGTTGAAATAAGTAAAAGAAAAATATATTTTGAAGTAATAGAGACCAAACAAGGATCGATCTTTTCTCTTTTATCTAAACCATGTTTGATAGTCATTATTTTGAAGAAATTATATTTTGAGGAATAAAGAGGGAAAAAATTTAGATTTACATACAAAATATTTTATTTTATAAATATATGATTGAGAAATGAATATAAAAATTAGCCCATATTTGACATTCCAAAACTCTTCGAGCCCCTTGCTTGGTGGCCTTAAAATTCAAAAAACATAGTTTTGAATAATTTTTTTTTGAGAAAATTCAAATATTCATTTTCAAGTGCACATTCACATAATAAAATAATTGCACATAAACTCAATAAAATTTCCTAGTTTTTAACCACGCATTCTTATGTACACAACTATATATCATTATGTACAAACTACAAATAGTATTACTCTTTCGTAAATTGAATAATTTGGATCCACGTATATTGTTGATCTTTCTTTCAATACCATTGCTTCCTTTGCATCCGATATGGTCATTGGATCATGATGAACAAATTGTAAAATTAAAACACTTATAAAAAAGGACAAATTAGATTTCAAAGTTGGTTCTAGACTTCTAGTTCAAAAATCAAGAACCGCTTGGACTGTTTGATTTTCAATTCTTGATTTTGATTCCTAATATATTTTCTAGAACCTTCGATCCTAATTCGATTTCGACTATAATGTCCATCCCTAATTTATATACTAAAAATTGTTGAAGTATAAAAATAAAAATTCGGATTCTAATCTAAATAAAAATTAACGATTAATTTTAATCACATATTTTATGAAATCTACAACTTTTCAATCACACGTCTTATCAATTTTTATCAAAA